GGGCTGAGCTGGCCACACACACACACACACACACACACACACACACACACAAAATAAAAAATAATAATAATAAAAAAAAGATTATAGGATGGGGCATAGCTCAGTGGTAGAGCATGTGCTCAGCATTCACAAGGTCTTGAGTTCAATCCCTTGCCAACATTAGAAAACAAGACCAATATAAAAACAACAACCTGCAAAAACAATTATAATCATGTCATAACATTTCAGTGGAAGACTGCATGTGTGATGTTAGCCAATAAGTTTATAATCAAACTGGAACAATGCACAGCTGAGAAAAAAAACAAAAGACAATGAAACTGCAGGCAAATAAAACAAACTTCCAAAAAAATATTCACTGAAGGATTTAGCACAGGCTTTTACAGATTTCAACAAGCTCCTCAAAATTTTTATATCACAATAACAACACAAATATTAAAACTAGAGAAGGGTATTCAGAGTATATTATCTACTTATAAACAAATCTATAAAGAAGAAACCAACCAAATGATCATAGATACATTTCTGAAAAGTGACAGTTTTCAAACAAAAGCCTCAGAAGCTGGGGATATAGCTCAGTGGTGCAGTGTATGCCTATTGTGTGTGAAGCCTTGAGTTTAACACTCAAAAACCCTCCCCAAAAAGCCTCATGCAGGTATCCCAGACATCTCCGTTCATGCTATTGCCCCTGAAGACCTTCTGAGTGCAACAAGATGTCAATGCAGAGGACAAGATATTGATGATTGTGGCCCTGTTTAGGATTAGGCTAGCATGTATGTTTGTATATGGGTGTACGTGTGTCCATCTAGGTTTTCAATGAAAGTTAAGAATAAATAATAATTTTTAACTAAGTGACTCAGAGGGCAGTCAGCGTCCTCACTTTGTAAACATCCTGAGCACCCTAGGGTGGAGAAGAGCCTGCAGGCAATATAGAGAAGAGAACTGAAACTTATTCTCCCCTACTGTGCTCATTTTGAGTGCCTTTGGCTACCAGGAACTAATGCTCCTCTGCCACACCCCCTGCCTTGAACCCAGCTGACTGTGGACTGAAACCTCCAAAAACTGTGAACTAAATAAACCTTTTCTTCCTTAATTTTGGACATCGGGCATTTTGTCTCAGCAAAGAGAAAGACACTGTATATGTGAGAAGACTGAAAAATAGTAAGTTTATATACATGTTGTCTATCTCACATGGTAGGGTCTACCACCACAAGAAATAAAAAGAATCTAGTAAATATTTTTTGGTAAGAAAAAAGAATAAAATAAAGAAAGCACTAAATTGAAAAAAGAATAAAACAAACATTTATTTTTTTTTAAATTAGCCATCAAAAGTAAAAAACTAGACAAAATATGGAGGGAAATTTTATATTATATACCCTCTAACTCAGAAGACTGAAGCAGAAGGATTGCTACAGGCAGAGTTGGAGGCCACCTTGGCCAACCTGACAAGAATTCAACTCTTAAAAAAAAAAAAAGACTTTAGTATAAATAATTTTTAGTTAGCTATAACATATAAGTCACTCACCAGTTTTCTCTTCACTGATGAAACTGATCTTATAGAGTAAGCAGAATCTGATGAGGCTTTTTTCTCATTTTTGTCCTAAAAATGCCATGTAGAATAAAAAAGAAAGGACAATAAAAGTACAAAATAAACCATAGTATGATAGACTATTATTTCATCATTATAAATTAACATTCACATTCCATCCAGAGAACAACATTTTACAAGACATAAATCTGATTAAAACAACAACAAAAACAGAGTGAACTAGAAGAAATACTTACCTAGAATAAAAAGCCCTAGGTGCCCATCAACTAGAAATGGAATAGATAGAAATGTAATGTAGCAGACCAGTTAATAAGATTTGATGGGGTGTGTTGCAGCATTGCCATGGTGGGATTAGGCCCTCTATACAGCAAAACCATACATCCTTTTATTTTTCTATAGATCTTAAACTAAGTTTAACTAAGGACAAACTTGTTTGAAGTACCTACCTTACTAGACATACTAGACAGTAGGCAAAAGTTAATTTAAAAGAAAATAATAGGGCTGGCCAAATAGCTCAGCAGATTAAAGTGCCTGCAAGCAGGCACAGGGGCCGGGGTTCAATCCATGGGTCTGCCCGGCCGTACCTGCCACCCCACCCCCCACCCCAGGGCGCGCTGGGACAGCAATTGAGACTGGGCTTAGTGACATGCACCTGTAATCCCAGCTCCTGGAAGGCTGTACACAGGCTGATCACTAGGAATCCAATCTAGTAGTGAGTCCCTGAACACCTTGTAAACCCTTCCCTAAAACTACAAAAAAAAGAAAGAAAGAAAGAAAAAGACTATCAAGAACAAGGAGTTATAGCTCAGCAGAATAAGCACCTGGTTGTGCAAGCACAGGGACCAGGGTTCAGTCCCATTCTGCATGCCACAACAGCCCCACCCCCAGGGCACCCTAAATGGAGAAGAGTCCTGGCGTGGTGGCACACGTCTATAATCCCAGGACTGGGGAGGCTGAAGACAGGAGGCTCACTATGAGTCTGACCTCTGTAGTGAGACCCTATACCAAATACATAAGAAAAAGAAAAAATAAGAATAAAAAAGAACAAGGTGTCATCAGTTATGACAAATACTGTTGATAAATTAAGTCATAAGAGATGTTATAATCGACCAATAGGCTTAGCAACATGGAAAACTTTATTGACCTTAATGAGAACATAACTAGGGGAATAATGACAAGAAAAGGTCTGATTAGAGCAGGCTTAAGAGGGAATGGGAGGGATTAGCAAACAGTATGGTATGAATAGGAGAGGGGGACAAAAATTAAGGAAACAAAGCCAGCTACATAGCTAACTAGTCTAAGTGCCTGCTTGGCAAGCACAAGGTCCTAGGTTTGAACGCTGGCACCACATGCTGCATGGACCCCACCCCAGGCACACTGAATCAGACACCAAGACCGGGTGTGGTAGCGCACGCCTGTAATCCCAGGGCTGGGGAGGCTGAAAACGGGGATCACTATGAGTCTGAGCTGCATGGCAAGACCCTGTACCAAATAAATTTTTTTTAAAAAATTAGTTAAGGAAGCAAAATTACTGTTTGCCCATGCCTCAGCATCACT